CCCCCACCCCAATTCTTCACCTTATCATCAGGATTATTTGACTGTTTGTCTTTTTATCCTGTCTTATTTTCTTCTCTATATGTCCTGCTGCCTCTTCCTGTCGTGTGTGTGTGTGTGTGTGTGTGTGTTTATTTTTCCTGTGATGTTCTGCACCTTTGTCCTGTGTTTGAAGTCTGGTGGTATGAAGATCCAAAAGGGAGACTTTACCTTGGATTCTTTGGTTCTTTGGTGAGGGCACAGGCTAGATGCTCAATCGGACCCCTTTCATTTAATCGGTGGAATAGAATGACTTGGAAAGATGTCTGTCCTGGCAACCCGCATCAATCAGTCTGTGGTTTCTGCCTTTTAAATTTGATTTAAAAATCAAATTTAATCTCTCTCTCTCTCTCTCTCTCTCTCTCTTCTATCGCTACTGTCTTTTCACCCTCCTTGCATCTCTATGCTCAAATTTCTCCCATTGGCCAGCGCTGCCAAGACTAGCTGACACTATGACTTGTAGTATTTTTAGTGTGTGAGATAGTTGGTTGAGACATTGCGTCTTCTCAGCACCTGATGACACCTATGAAGAACAATGATACGTGTGTAGTAAAGATCAGGATGCCAGTCTGCTTGACATCAACTTCATTGCCATTTCATAGTTTTGGGATGTCCAGCTCTAAATAGAGGTTTAACCAGATCCATGCCTGGCCACATCTGATTTAAGGTTCTTTTAAAGTGAATTACAGAGAGGTTCATCTTTACAGACGTTGAGGATAAGTGGGCGAGCTGTTCTGGCAATAAAATACTTGGTATAAACACCACCATGATATAAACAAGTTTATGGCTGTGTAATTTAGTGCGTTCACAGACGTAAACATTTTAGCATCTGGAATATGATTTATACCATTTTGATAACTGTGACACTCATTAGATCATAGAAAAATGAGTGTTATGGAAAGGTCATAGCACATTCTCCACTAATGCATAAACCAAAAATGTAAACTTTAAAATAAAATAAACAATGAATAGCAGATGCCAATTTTTTGTGATAAAAGTTTGTTTGTTCAGTCAGGTTTTTATTATTATTTTTTAATTTTAATTGTCACATTTGTTTTTTTTTTTTATGTTTTTTTTTTAAATAATAGAATGAACTCAATGCATCCTTAAAAATGAAGTAAAATGGAGGGTGAATTTATATTCAATATAACATTAACGTTCATATGCATTTGATTATACAGTGAGCCTGTGGGGAGATGCTTTTCTAATATCAGTCTGAGAAAAACTGAGTCTGAAGATCTATGTTTAAATAGGCTGGAAGTCTATGAAAGGGGATCCAACACATCAACACATGGAAGCATGAGAAATGACATGAATGAAAATAGCTGTGGGACATAATGGGCTCAAGGGGCTCAAAGGCAGATGATAATAGTTTACTGTATCTCAGCAGCCATTGCTTTGGTGTGGTGTTTATTGGTTTATGCCGGTAAGCACGCAACATATAGGCCTACCTAAAAACACATCCCCTAAGGCTGTTATTGTTATTTTTTTCTGTAAAGCACAGCACAGACAGAAACCGAGTGGGAGAACAGAAAGGGTAATTGTTCCACACCTTCTGTGAAACAAACCTGTGGATCCATGTTAAATGAATGCCAACTAAGAAAACAAATCCTGATGAAAGTGCTTAGCTGAAACAAAAACACACCTTTGAAACATTTAAAAGGTTGAAGATAAGAGGAACAATCACGTACCGCTACGCACACATGCACACAGCTTTCCTTATTAGAAAATTGGGCAGCATATGTGCATACGTGCGCACTCAGTCATGATGTCATGGAACAGACGTACTAAAATGCTTAGCAATCGTTCAGAGCTTTAGACCATATATGATTAAGTTCTCCGAGGCCTTGCCAGGAAATATCGCCAAGTTTTTCCTTGGCTCTCCAGACACAGAGGTGATTAAAGATGAAGCTGTCAGCTGAAAGTGAGCTTCAGAAAAATTTGATGCCACAAACTGAGTGATAGCTCTAACATCCACATGGCTCGCCTCTGTATTGCAGCTCTGTACTGTAATTTAATGGCAGCCATCTTTATGTCATCTGTTATTTTGTAGGAATCCGCAGTGAGGGAGGATTTAGACTAACCAGTGAACTACGATCCCAAAGACGTTCCCCTGCTGAGCTCCTATTAGTTTGTGACTGTCCATGAATGTACAAGATTCAAAAACGTGGTTTGTTGGTAAAGTATGTCATACCCTGCATTTGATGTCTTTCCTGCTTGTAATCTGATTCCTATGATGTGGTGTGATTTGCGCTGAACTGACTGAAGAAATGGATTCCTTTTGGGAGAGGAGACCAACTGAGAGGTCAAAAGTCAGGATCAGACACCCTCCCCTGCAGTGCTACACGAGAAGGGTCAGTCGGGCAGATTCTCAGCCATTAAATTGGGTAGGAATGGAAAAGCCTCATTGTCCACTGACCTCCCCTGACCCCATCTCCTCCTATGCCTTCTGGACCTAGTGCCGGGAAGTGAAGTCATCCACACCGGTTTATCATGTCTACTGGGGGCCAGTCATTTTCTCTATCTCTTTACCTTGTCTGTCTTTTCTGTCACTGTTTATCTTTCTCCCATTAGTCATGTTAGCGTCTGTGTCCCTCTGTCAGCTCAATCAAGTGTGTTTGCACTTAGACACAGTCATCAATAGCTCTGGCGCCTCTGTTGCATGCCTCAGTGTTCTTTCTTTTCATTTAATATGGAGTAGTATAAGTTTATTGCTCTCTGGAATGCTCGATTGTGATTGGTCAGTTGCAACATTCCATGGTCAGATATTTTTGCATATAGGCCTCTAAACTGTACATTTGATCATTGTACCCGGCATCCAGTCCCCTACACTGTGCTAGTATCTTGTAGTCTCTTTATTCACATATAATAAAATAATTTAAACAAAATCAATAAATAATGTCCATTATTTATTAAATAAGTGAGGGGCATAATGGGGTGTTTCTTCAACTATGGGCACTTTTCCCAGCGGTTGATTTTTCTTAAGTTGTGATGTTACAGAAATAGTGACAGATCTTGTATTCATTTTTGACATAAATTTGAGTGAAATGGATTATGGAAAAAGAAAAAAAAAAGTGTAGGGTGGTTGTTGATTGGATGGAGGCTGATCTGAATGCAAACTCTGGTGAAGTCTAATATATATGTATATGTCTGTCAGTCACTGATGTTTAAATTAAAAATGATGTGGTCAAAAAAAAATTTTGTAAATTAAAAATGAAACAACATGGATGAATCACCACAATTAGATCAATAACATTTAGGCCTGGTTTCACAGACAGGGCTTAGACTAAGCCAGGATTAGGCCATAGTTCAATTAGGACATTTAAGTAATTTTTCATAAACATGCCTTAGAAAAAACATTACTGGTGTGCATCTTGAGACAAAACAAAGAAACTGATATATTTTAAGATTAGTCAGTGCAAGTTTCTTTCAGTTGACACAGCTCAGATTTACATTTTAGTCTGGGACTAGGCTTAAGCCTTGTCTGTGAAACCGGGGGTTAGTGTTTAGAGACTACTATGAATACTACTTTCTAAAGTCTATATAAAGAATGAAATAAACAATAAAAACAGTTTAAACTTTTATTGTGTGAAGATTATTAATTTTGTACCCACATTATGACTCTCCCTCAGTTGTAATGTTTGACAACATTGTTATTGAGAGATATTTGATCCATGAATACAATTTAAAAAAATGTATTTGTCAAATTATGCAAAAAGTGTAAAAAAAAATTACAATTATGATACAATTGTTTGTATTAAGGACACATAAAGTGCTAGCAATGAAATCAACTCATCCAAAACAAAGAAATCTGCCATTGTCTTACAAAAATGTCATTTATATCCCCATCAATTCCACTACAGAATAGTGATTTGAGATGTGGTGGAAATGAGATTTGTTCATGACAACAAAAATGGTCCTGTGATACATTTATCTGTTACTAGACAAATTAAACTTTTGAGTTTGAAAATTGTGTTTCATTTTTACAGGTCAACAAGTCCAAAAGTACTAAAGAAACACCCATATACTCACAGGCTCTCATTCTCTATGCTGTGTTTTATACAGTATGTAGCAATGACTCGCTTTATTGAGCCTCCTACTATGCAGGGGTCAGAGGTAAAGCACGTCCAGCACAGTCGCCCTGCAGTCACTGGTGTGGGGATGTAGGGAGTGGACTCAGAAATAATTGTCCAGGCCAGAATGTCTCTGAGCGAGCGGTGTGTGGGAGAGCTCTGCCGATACTCATCCTGCTGCTCATCATTCATTCTCACTCATGCAAGGATTATTCCTACAGGGAAAGGAAAGGCATAATCTTTCAACAGCACATCTCAGTTCAAGGTAGGAGTCTGCATTTGACTGATCCTGGATCAGGGACACTTATCAACAGCTGACCGATGTAAGAAGTCAGCTTCTACCGACACACTTTCTTGTCTCTGTTCGGCTCTCTGTATTATGTCTAATCTCCTGTACCTCTGCAGCGCGCCAGACCTGCCCACTGGCCTTATCTTGAGCTGTGACAGACGCCCAGCAGTCGCCTCATCCCTCCAGCACATGCCCTGACCTCTCTGACTTCTCATTCCCAGCACTGCCAACAGTAGACTGGATCACCACCACACACAGTTTTTGTCCATATAATGAAAGTCAATGGGATATAGGTTCTTTTTGAAATATGTTCTTTTGTGTTTCACAGAAGAAAGAAAGTAATATAGGTTTGGAACGTCATGAGGGTGAGTAAATGATGATAGAAGTTTCATTTTTGGGTGAACTATCACTTTAAATTCTGTCCGGCTCTCATTGAAAATGATTTGTGTCCCAGCAGATAACCTTTTCCAGGCCCATCCTGCTTCTGCTTCTAACTGTCTGTGAGTCTCCTCACCTGTTAAGCTAAATGTTGTGGTGGACGAAGGTAATATATTATTAATAGCATCAAACATGCAAGTAAAGTAAGAACAAAATTATTTTATTTCAGCTTTCAACATTTCTCATTTTCATTTAGTTTAACTAGGTACTAAAATAACTAAAACTAAAGTGAAATAAAAAATAAAATGCTGTTTTAATGAACTTTATATTCATCAAAGAATCCTGGGAAAACAAAAATATTAAGCAGCACAACTGTAATAAGAAATTTTAAGCACCAATCAATTATGTATTTGTTGTGTCTGCAGTTTGTGATGTACATATAAATGTAAATTTCAGTTGTGGTGGTGTCCATTGCTTCCTAGAGGATCAACACTATGGCCTGATATTAACATTTTATCATATTATAAATAACATATTATTTATAACATTTGAGTGCAAATTTCCCAGCTAGAAACACATTTTTATGGTAGGCTATTAAATACTGTAGTGATATATGCAATTTATATTACAATACATACATTTGCAAGACATGAAAGGCTCCCAAGTGGTCAATAGTGCTGTATACTGTAGTAGAACAAAACTTTAGTAGAACATAAATGATAGCTAATATATATGTACTACTTAAGTATTCAACATTTGCAGTATAAATTGGTTGTCAGTTCCAAATGCAGTGTGATATGTTTTTGCTTTTCTTTTCATTCTTCTTTCACTTTCATCATTGTGAATATATCACTAGTGCCTTGTCATAATATTTCACTGTATTTTTACCAGGGTGAATGGCTGCTAATGAGCTACAAAGCACTCTTACTGGAGGCTGATGCTGTTACTGCAGTGTGACCACACCGCAATAGGCAGGTGTATGAGTGATTACATACATTTGGCTCTGATCCCTCGCAGGTGAGCACATGCACGTATGCCACGTCAAAGCCTGTTATTGCACAAATTAGTAACACTTTCGCTCTGAGCTCACAGGCCCGCTGTGATGTGTTTGCGTTGTGTCAAAGGCTGATTTGTGTGCAAAGACTTCATGCTAATAATATGTTGTAGCTCACTCTCAATGTTCATTCCAAAGTCTCTTTGTGTTCAGACAATTAGGAATGTTACACATACTCAAACACACACAGACACCTAGTTTAATTCACCTGGAGGGGCCTCCATGCTTCAGCCTGTAAAGGGCCTCTCAACCGTCATGGTGAATAGCTCACACCAAATGAAAGATTTTACAGGGGCTTGTATTCTCTTGCTCTCACACAAGCCTTTGTTTGGCTGACTGTTTATCCAGCACTTGGAAATAAGCAGTATTGGAAACTGGCACCTGAATGAATCGAATAAGAAACATTCAACTGAATTTCTTGCTTTTTTAACTTTAGCTTTGGTTATATTATATTATATTATATTATATTATATTATATTATATTATATTATATTATATTATATTATATTATATTATATTATATTATTAGAGTTAATTATAATATAATCTAGTTATAGTTGTAGTTAATTAAAACCATAAATAAATAAAAAAAACTTGTTGTTTTGTAACAAAATAAAATAAAAACTTAAACTTATTTTATTTCAGCTATTTGCCAAGGTAACATTTCTCATTTTAATTTAGTTTAACTTGAGGTACTAAAATAACTAAACTAAATAACTAATAACTAAAACTGAAATAAAAATGAATATAGACATATTATTTAAAAAGATAATAATAATAACAAAAAAACATGGCAAAATTAACAGAAAATATAAATATTTCGAAATATTAATACAAATTAAACTAGAATTTCGAGGATACTAAATAACACTGATTATAATTTAATATTATTATATTATGTGTATTTATTTTTTACGATTACTTGAGTTCAAACCATTACTGGTGGAGCCTTTATTCTCTTAAACATGCAGTTATAAAATGCATTATGGAACCAGATGACATGTAGAGTAAAAATATGCACATCAGTATTTTCATTTTATGTTTTGACTATTTTTTTCTTCCACTTTAGACCACTATCGTAGCCTACATGCTGACATCAACCACTAATAGAAAAAATATGTTTTTCTTCCCTCAAGTGAGAAACCAAAATGGTCATTCTCTGCACAGCTCATGTAACTCTCATCAGGAACACGGTCAAATAAGCCCATTATTATGCTGTCCAAACCACTCCAGAGGAGCACATGTATCCCAGCTCATCAATCTCAGCACGGTAACACTAATACCAATGATGATTTTCCAAGTGCACTGTTGTGTATGTTTGTGTCTGTGTGTGCGTGCATGCGTTAAAGACTATGTGGCCTCGCCTTCTAACGGTTAAAGAGACAGGATGATGTCATGCAATATGAGGCTGCTGTAGGGTTTTAGCTGAGTTTCGGTACAGCAGAGCAGATTGCAGAAACAATAGATGGATATGACAGAAAATGGGTTTTGGCTTGAGTTGCCTCGATTACATCACTCTTACTTGCTTCCTAGAAAATCTATCATTGCTAAAGTATTATTCTTGGCATGGGCTGCAGACTGATAGTTCCTGCTTCTCAGGAAGGGGCTGCAGCTTTGTGAAGAAATTTTTGCATTTATTATGTGTGCTTTTACTTTCTGCTTGCACTCATATACTGTTCAAATATTTGGGGCTGGTAACATTTTTCAATTTTTCTGAAAGAAGTCTCTTGTGCTCACCAAAGCTGCATTTATTTAATAAAAAAAATACAGGAAAAACAGTAATATTGTGAAATTATTAAAATAACAGTTTTTTATTTGAATATATTTTGAAATGTCATTTTTATATATATTTTAATATATTTTAAAATGTAATTCATTCCTATGATTGTAAAGCAGCTGCAGTCTTCAGTCAGTGTCACATGATCCTTCAGAAATCATTCTAATATGCTGATTTGGTGCCCAAAAAACATTTCTTATTATCAGTGTTGAAAACATCTGTGCTGATTTTTTCAGGATTTTTGATGAATAAGAAGTTCAACAACATTTATTGGAATTTTTTATTTTTTGTAACAATATAAAAGTCTTAACTGTCTCTTTTGATCCGTTTAATGTGCTCTTGCTAAATAAAAGTTTTATTTATTTATTTATTTTTTTTAGATCTTATATGAGCCCAAATATTTGAAAAGTAGTGTAAAAAATAGTGAGGTCTATTTTTCACTTTTTTCTTTTTAATTTTCTTTGAATTATATCAGCATAACAACATGAGTGATGTTGAATTGAATAATAATTTATTTTTTGTTTTAAAACCATTTAAATAATTTAATTAAGTTGAATAATTTATTCATTGACATCCACAAGTTTGTGTAAACCCTGATTATCATATTATCTGAGATGATCCATGGAAGCAGGACATATGGCACAAATTTACATATTTGATTTAGTCTTAGAAATATTTAATAATATTTATTTAACGCCACAATCTTAAATATTTATTTTCATTTCAGGGTATAAATGAAATAAATCCCAGATTTTCCTCAAACTTTTGGACTCCACTGTAATTTTTTCCCCACATTTGTAGAACGATAGAACTTTTTGGATCTTCTCTCAACCCTTAATGTAATCCAAATGAGATGATCCACAGCTTTCATTGAGCACTATAATTTCCCCATTGTTCTTTTTAAAGGTAATATGTAGCTTAGTTTACACCAGAATGACAAACAGCCTGTTTAATTTGGAAGGAAATTGTGATTTTGAGACATTAAGTAAATAAATATTAACAAACCTCAGCCTAAATCCAAATGCAATATTAAGTCATTGAGCAGTGGATGTAATTACTCTGCACTTGTTGTCACAATAGTTTCTGTTTACTTATTCCTTTTAAAGATAAAGCCCACTTAAGACAAGGCTTATTTCATGGATGAGATGAAGTCGGAATCACTTTCTCCACTGTAAAGACATCCCAGTAGACCACTAGACCACGTTTCTACACAAGATTAAGTACAGTGTTGATCGAAGGGTTTAAGCAAACTGCACTGAATCAGGGGGTAATTGTGTTGCGGTGAGTTCTGATGTGGTTTGGATGTAATCTCATATTCCTCTTAGGCATGCTTATGTGCGTATGTATTCGATTGATAAAAGAGGCTGTTTATGTGTGTGTGCAGCAGTGGAGATCAACACAGAGTACAGCTCAGTCGGCCCATCCTGGCCGTTCAGAGCAAACGGGGCATGTAATTATCTGGAGCCATCTCAGGAGGTCGGCTGGGATTTGGGGAATGTGTCCCCCTCCTCCACATCCCTGTTCTTTTCACCTTTCAACCCCATCGTTCTTCTCAGCATAAGGGCATTTCTTCAGCTGGAGGATCACACTGTCACACCAGAGTGGACAAGACTGGCCGTTCGGTGTCCATCTCTGTGATGTGAGTATGTGAATGGTTTGTGAGAGCATGAAATCAATCACCTCTGGTTCAGATATGCATTATAGTCACATTTCAACCATAACTCACGTCATGGTGCAGCCTGCCAGAAATTGATCTGCTTATGCCTCTGAGAAAATGCCAAGAATATCACAAAAATAAGTTTAAATCAGTTTTATTGTTCTCTCGTCTGCTTCTCGCACTCCTCCTCTCTCTCACTTGGCACAATGTGCACTTAATTAAATTGACTTTGAAGTGACTATGACATCATGATTTGGCTGTTATTCTTCTGGACGTGTTTGGACTTCTGGGTTCCCATGGAAACTCTGATGTAATGGCCAAGAAGCCTTGTTTTCAGGAAACCCACAGCTTACACGTGGTGAAATAGATGGGCTTTTGTTTTTTTAAAAGGATCGGAGCTTTGTCAACAGCAGATGAAAGCTAGACAGGGTTCGCAGGGCATTGGTTCGCTCAAACTGAGGATGAAACTTCAGCCTTTAGACTGATGGGTTGACATTTTCTCAATGTGAACAGGAAAAGTTTCAGTCTATGGCATCACGGCTGAATGTGGTTAAAGAACCATGTGCTCTAAGGCCTTAGTGGTTCAACCGGTGTGTGTTAAAGTTTAGTGACATAGAATTCATGATTTGTGGTTAACTTAACTGTTTACTGCATGTTTCCCACCATGCCTCATTCTTTCGAATAAGGCCAGACTGGTTATTTTGGGAGGGCACCACTGATCCATTTATAATAAGTCAAAGTAGTTAATATTGCTAGAAAGATTTTTACATGATTCCACAAAAATGTCTCTTCACTGCTGCAAAACAAGCTTAAACATTCTTAGCTAGTTTGTTTCAGCTGCTAGAGGCATGTCAACTAATTAGGCTGGGAGACCAGCTAAGACCAGCAAACCAGCACCAAAAGCAGAAATGGGGCATGACATGAAGCAATCAATCACCAAACCAATTAGATAATCTTTCCCTGTTTGCATGCTTTCTTGCACTTCTAATGCACTGCAGCTGAAAAGCGTAAAGTTGTTCACATATCTTTTTTTTTACACTTCCGAAAAGCTTCAATAAATGCCATGCTTTTTATGGTTTTCTTGTAAAACTTGAAGGATTTGTCAGTTTGTCACAAATTATTTAATTCTCAACTTCCCCAATCAATCTCTCTCCATCCATGTCTTTTGATTATATATTCTTCGATTCCAGTGAGCTTTTGGTGTGGGCCACAGCTGTTAAGATACAACCTGATTAACGTGATTACATTTTATAGCTTGGCACTTTATGGCATATTGTTGGGCTGCAAAGGTATTAGGGGCTGTTGACACAGAACTTGGTTTTGCATTCCATTGCACTCATTTTCCATTGTTTTTTATGTAAACATGTGCAAGACATTTTTGACCATTGAGTTTTCTTCTTTTGCAGTGTCAAGGCGTGGCCATCATGACAAGGCGTTCTTACAAAGCTGCACTCAAGTTAAAAGAAGTTCCAAAGACATGTCTCTAGACCTTCCTTCCACTGCCCAACATCTAGTATTCTTCAATGCTGAAACGTGTTGAAAGTCCTTTAAATTGGCATGGTACTTTGAAATTAGTTCAGCTATTGTATTTAAATCTGAACGCAGGATTCAAAAATGTTTTAGCAGGCAACCTAATGTGATTTTTTTTTTTTAAACCAAAAGGATGCATTAAATCCTATCAAAAGTGGTAGTAAACACATTTATAATGTTACAAAAGATTTCTATTTCAACACAGAAATGCATTCTGTGTTAAAGGCCCCTTAAACTGGTTGAAGGGGCTGTTCACATAGAACTTGTTTTAGTGTTAAAAACTGCAACATGAGAGTAGCAGAAAAAAACCTGAACATCCGATGCTGTCCTATTTACTCAGGAAACAATTGAAAAGCTGCACAGTACAATGCAAACCTTTTATAGCTTGTGGTAAGCATGCAGTGTTTGTTTGTAAAATAACAACTATGGAGAAAGTTCAACATAATTACATGATTACTGAAAGTGTTAAAAATAAACAAAGCAGTCTTTCATGACTGTTTATCTGACTTGTTAATCTTGTACAAATTTGTCACAATGACTGTATGCATGAGTATGTTTAAATCAGACATAATCTTACAGTGTAATTTGGTGAGCCATATCAGGACTGTATGTCAGCTGCCATTTCCCAACACCCAGAGATCCTTGGGGCTCAGCAACTCCTTAGGAAGAAGTTATAGTTGTGTCATAGTTTTGTCTTGGTCACATCCTTCTCTCATGTCAGTGTTGCAATACCTGTGCAGGTTATCTCTGTCACTGATCCCTCCTCAGATAAGAGTGAACAGATCTTGCGTGAGCATGTGAGGTCTTGCATTGGTCTGTCTCGGCGCTACTGATCCAAAAAGCGTGTCTGATCCATTCTGCTCGACTTCTCAGAATCACCATCATGTATCTCAGGATCAGATAAGGGCAAAAGGGAAGAAATGGTGGCTGCATTCGATACAGTAACAAACTGCCAGGGAAAAGCACGACATTGTGCCGTTCCTCCATGTGCCTGTTGCTGATCCCGAGAGACATTTACAACCCATGCCTGACGTGAAAGTCTGACATCATTGCAAGATGGAAATCATATTTGGAGGGCTGAGGGGGGAGGGGAGTAAAAAAACAGCTGCTCAGAGTCAGAAGCTAGCAGACAATTTCCAGCAAACTTTGAGTCAGATATGTTGCAAGATTGACTCCTGAAGAACCTCTTTTTAGATCTAGATCTAGATCAAGATGTCTTGACGAAAGATTAATAGATATCCTGTTCCTCAGCGTGGCATTTTCTTCCTGCGTTCGCTCACAGCTCTGTTATGTAAAGTTGATAAGCACATGCCCAGTGTGTACAGCTATAAATCACTTCCGCTCTCCCGCGGCTTCCAGTGTTTACAGTAAACAGTGGGCTGGAATGCAAAGTTATTTCAGTTAGTTGGCCAGGACTCATTGGTTGTGCTACAGGCCGTTAGTCCAATCCAGAGCCCCCCTGCACCTCATTATGTGATTAGGCCTGTTTGCTCTGCCGGGGTTCGGTTGCAGCTCTACACTCATCCCTTCACCCACAAAAGACAAACACAGACGCAAACACAACAAGCCCACTTCCTCCAGATCCATTATGTCCCTCTATTCACCCTAAACAGCAAACTCTTGAAATCCAATCGGCCCCCATTTTGTCTATACACTGATTGATCATCACAGGACGCAAGGTCAGTTTGGAAAGGACAAGACTTTGAACTCTTAGGAAGTACAGAGGAGGATTCTCCACGGAATGACCTCTTTGTTTATTAATTTGAAATGAGTTCAGCTATTGTATTCAAATGAGAAGAAGGGATTCTAAAATGTTTTGGCAGGCAGCCTAATGTGATTTTGTTTTTTTTAATTCAGCAAGGATGCCTTTAATTGATTAAACGTGATAGTAATTACATTTCTAACGTTACAAAAAAATATTTTTTTAATAAATGTGGTCCCTTTGAACTTTCTATTCATCAAAGAAAAAAAATCAAGGTTTTCACAAAAATATAAAGAGGCACAACTGTTTTCAACACTGATAATGATAAATGTTTCTTGAGCAGCAAATCAGCATATTAGAATGATTTCTGAAGGATCACGTGAGACTGAAGCCTGAGTTATGGCTGCTGAAAATTCAGCTTTGCCATCACAGGAATAAATAACATTTTCAAACAGAAAACAGTTATTTTAAATTTTAATTATATCTCACAATATTACTGTTTTAATGCATTTCTTATCAAATAAATTCAGCCTTGGTGAGCATAAGACACTTCTTCTGTTTGCATGATGCAACTTTCTATTTCTGCAGCAACACGTTAGGTAACCAAAAATCTCACACCTCATAATTGTACATTAATCTTTAAATAATATTTACAGACTGGATGTGATTGTGTCACATCGCACAGAATTTTCACATTCAGTGCTGACAGGCAAATAGCTTGCTGCTGGAAACTTGTCAGGACATTTTAAACCACATATTGTCACACTTTTACAGTATAAGCAGGCACTTTAAAACTTTAAGAGTGCAGTCTTTATCCTGACCTCAACCACCACACTCCGAACCCAGCGAAAGTGAGACAGAAAAAAACAAAAGGCGTGACTGTTTCTCTCTGACATAGCACCACTGAGACATTGGGACATGCTTGAGCTGGAGAAATGTGAGCAGTGGCCTTTATCTGTCAGGAGAAAAAAAAAAAGAGTGAGGAACAGTGAGTGAGAGAGAGAGAGAGAGAGAGAGAGCAGAGACAAAGCACTGTGTTGTGAAAGTGGAGATTAATACAAATACAGTGGAAAGAAAGAGGGGGAGCCGGGATAAAGTGGAGCTCTATCTCTCCTCCTCTTTTCTCTTGTTCCCTCCCTCTCTCTGCTCCCTCCCCCGGGCTGCAGAAGTAGTAGGAGGTTAACGTGACTGTGAGAGCTGTACTTTAAAACAGCACGGTGGGCTGAACTCACACACTCAGACACTCACAGCAGAGAAATCATACTGAAACATAAGGTCTGTAAACACTCAAACACTCACAATTTGAACATTTTCTACTGTACTTTTTTAAGTTGGGTGAGATTTAAAGATGTTTTTTATTCATTAGTTCAGGAAACAAAGTTTGTTTCTGACTAATTTTTTGTCTCCACAGGTCACTGTTGTCAGTCCCTCTGGATTTCTATAGGATCTGGGACTTTAAACAATTTCAAGAGGGAATTATCAGAGACAGGTGTAGGACTGTAAAGGAAGGTACCTGGACACACAGTGGAGATGGATGCAGGTCCATTGGCATCAGTGGCCGAAGGCTCTCCGGAGGTGGAGACTGTGTGTGCCGCTTTGGCCCGCTATGAAACCACATTGCGGGATGCCGTACGTGAGATCCATGTGGACGTCAGTGCTTTCAAGCTGGGCATCGAGCGGAGACTAGAAGAGGCCATTAATGTGAGCGGACCTCTGGGCCGGGCCGTGGCACAGCTGCAGCAGGAGAACCGGCAGCTCAGGGGTCAGTTAGAGGTCCTGACCCGACAGGTAGAGATGCTTACGGGGTCGGTGTGTGACAGAAGCGCATTTCTCACTGAAGGATCGGCACCACCACAGAGCAACAGCAGCACCACGGGGCATCAGTCTCCACTGTCTGTGGCCCCCAGCATAGCAGCTCTGACCGGCTCTGCTTCCAGCCCCACAACCACACGCTTCTCCAGCAGAGCCACCTTCTCCGTCACCAGCAAAACTAATGTGAGTAGACATTTGCGAGAATGTGTGTTTAAATGGAAGCGTGAGCTCGAGTAAGGTTATTTTGTAGAACTGGAAAAAATTGATTGATGTGAGGAACTTTGTTCAAAAACTAAATATTTTGACATAGAGAAGCCCGAAGCTGGAAAACGTATACAAACTAACTGAATGTTTGAAAAGGCAGAATTTGTCTCAGACCTTTGGCGCAGTCTCTGATAAATGTGGGATGAAGTTTGGATCAAGTGACAGATACACTGCCACGGTATCGCCCTAGTATTATGATGAACTTAAGCCACATATGGCTATGCATTATGGTAACTATAACATGGTTATGGGGAGTTCTTAGGCACAATGCAAATAAATAATTCAACCACCAAGTAGTATTTTTTGGATGTTTACAGTTGACAAGCTACTAAGCAACTTGCCAAATTAATATCAATTTTATTGTCATTTTACAATCAGAATTTAGAGTTGGATCTATTTGTGACCCTCTCTGTGAAATCCAGGCTAAAGTCTCAAAATCTAATTATGAGATAACAAGCATCAAAGTTTGATTTCAACCATTAATTTCACTATGATTTCAATCTTTGACATGGTCTTACTCAGTCAGTAATAAAGATATAAATGTTACATTTTCACAGAATGTTCTTTACCTTATGAAGGATGATTTTATATAGAAAATAGTAAATCACCAAAAATGACTTTAGCTGGGTTTTCACAGACAGGTTCACATTTTATAAAATTAATGCATTTTTTAAACTGCAAAGGCGGCATAGAAGCTGCACCCGAAGTGGCTTAAATTCCTAAAAAGAGGCTGTTTAATGAAGCATAAATACATTTACATGGGAATTTAAATTGCTGGAGTAATGTTATTTAATTGATGCTTAAAATAATTAAATTATTAATATGTGCTTAATACATGAAGTGAAGTGAAGTGACATGTGGCCAAGTATGGTTACCCATACTAGGAATTAGTGCTCTGCATTTAACCCATCCTTAGTGCACACACACAGCAGTGAACACACACACACCGTGAACACACACCCGGAGCAGTGGGCAGCCATTTATGCTGCAGCACCCGGGGAGCAGTTGGGGGTTCGGTGCCTTGCTCAAGGGCACCTCAGTTGTGGTATTGAAGGTGGGAGAGAGCGCTGTACATTCACTCCCCCCACCTACAATCCCTGCCGGTACGAGACTCGAACCCGCAACCTTTGGGTTACGAGTCCGACTCTCTAACCATTAGGCCATGACTTCCCCTACATGTAGAATTTATGGAATTAAATTATGGTAGCTCTGATGCTGCATTTAATTTACACTGAAATAAAGCAGCATATTTTATTACGGCTTTTATGCAGCATTGTGCTTTTGCACATAATTTGGAGCAGGAATAAATCTGCC